TGTTCGTCAATTTAAAGTTTTATGCAAGCATTTATACATAAGTATAGTACATGCATATAAAGAAAGAAATCATACAAACATGAAACGCGAAAAAAAAATATCTAAAAACAGAAAGTGTGCCCCCCCCCCTCATGCTACACCCATGATTACTAAGTGTTGACAATTTTTATAAATTTGTCAAAAATGTGTACTGATCAAAAATTTGAACATATTTAGAATTATTTTTATTTAACTGTTATTTTAATTTTAAATTACCCTAATGAAGCTATATTGGACTAATACTTCTGAATTATCTTCTTTTTTTTTCAAATTTATAATTATTTTAAATTTTTATTATAGAAAAAAAAGAAGAGAGAAAGAAAGGAAAACGTAGTTGTTAAAAAAAATTCTGTAAATATTTGTCTATATGCTTGAAATATTTTAGTACCAAATATGAATAAAGCTACGTAAAATTAATTAAAACCTGTATAATTCTATTTTTAGTTGTTTAATTTATTTTTTAATTTCGATTAATTTATTAATCATTTTTTTTCTCTAAGTACTTACTATTTTAGAAAAAATATTTAAAAACAATCATGATGGAACCAATGAAAAGAAAAATATTTGGAAATAAAACAAATTATGCAATGCGTAATGCAGATAATTTTGTATTCTATCTTATTGAAAATTATTCTAATGATTAATTATAAATTATGAATAAATTAATAACAATGAAAATAAATTATGAAGTAATGAAAATAAATGATGAAATATTATTTTTTTTAATAATCATTAAGTGATCTAAGATACATAATCGAAAACATTTATCCACAAACGCAACTTAATTTTTATTAGTGTATATAAGTTTCTCTTGTTAAGATTTAATCATAAATTAAAGGTTATTGAGATTAATTATTTTACAAATAAGATCTATTAATAACGTCAATATATTATAATAATAAAATAAAAAATTATGATGAATAGCAAATGAATTTACTTAGTTTTTATGAAACTTTGTTTTAACCAGATTTAGCTAGTAAATTAGGTTATTGGTTATTGTTATCACTTTCCTAACTCTGATAAAACTAGAAAGTGCTACATCGTTTGAAAAATGATTCAGTAAATTCTTTGTTGCAAAATAATATTTTAATTTTTATAGAAGAGAGCAAAATATTCCCCTAGTTTCAAGAAAGTTTTGCTGCCTTATTATTGTCATAATTATAATTTTTTCTACTTGAAAATAAATAAATAAGTAGCGATCAATTACATAATCGCTAAAAGCACATTACATTGTGGAGATAAGAAATAAAACGAGGGAACATTAAAAATCATTCTAAAAGACACACAAAAATACCTATTTCATTTTGAATTTAACTTTTTGTTACTTTTAATAATAAAAGATAATTAGCCAAATAAAGATCATTAAACCAAATAAAAATTCAAAAGAAAAATTTTTGAGCAACAGCTATCTTTTTTTAGCTTGTAATCGACAACAAACTTTTTCTTTTTTAGCCTTCTTCTATTGTTATTTAACTGAAATCCGTGTGCTAACTTTGGCGGGAATGAGTTTTCGGAAGTAAACGAGCACGTCTGGCAGGTGTTTCTATTTCTTTCCTTCTTTTTTACTTTTATTTCTTTCATTGTCAACTCGTTTCGATCTAAGTGACGGTAAGTTGAACGACATTTTTTATACGATTGAGTTGGCTCTACGATTTATTTAAAGGAAAAATCGAAATGTATAACTGCTTTCGCCTTGTAAGCAAACTTAAGAACCATGGAAAAGAAATATACTGTGATAAATACAGCATTTCTATTTCAGATAAATTTAAACAATTTGTAATAAAATTATGTATAACAGGAAAGGGTATCTTTTTTTACAATTTAAAACTGTGGACATAGTTTTGAAAATAATATCGTTTTCTCTAATATTTTTAGAATTTTAAAACTGGATTATTTAAAAATAAAAAATTAAAACTTATAGTTATAATTTCCCCCCAAAATATTTAAAAAAAAAAAAGAAGATAATACGTTATTACCGCCGCTACAGTTTGAGGAACTTTCTGTCTGAAGATGCGTCAGACATTTACCTTGTTCACGAAATTTTTGAGTTATTCGTGATCGCAACGCTTGAATACGCCCTTTAGCGGGGAGGATTTACAGGTTTTTATTTATTAAATTTTCGTTTATTTCTATCAGAATCATTGGTAAGAGATGGACGCTTTTGTTTTGTTGCAAATAAGAAGCAAAATTTCCTTAAAGAAAGGGCAGAAGAACTTGAAAAAACGACCCAGAATATTGGTAAATCATTCAGAAACAGAACGCGCACAACATTTAAAGAAAAATTTCTCAATTTTTTTCCTTCTAATAAATTTGCAACCGATAACTTCCAATTTCATGATCGCATACTAAAGATGCGTGTATTAAGGTAAAACACAGTTTTTTTTTATATTCTGCAATTCATAATAAATTAAAGGTTAAATTAAATTAAAGGCAATTCATAATAAATTAAAGGATGTTATTTAAGTATCAGTGAATAAATGTGATTTTAGAGCATGCAGAACTGTAATAGTTATAGAATAACATTATAGAATAGTTTTTATAGAATAGCAGGGGTGATTGTGCACCGGAAAAATCTGGATTTCCAGATTTTTCGTTAACCGCGATCCGAAAGTTTCCGGAAATCCTAAGTCCAGAAGTTTCAAGAAATCATCGATCACATTTATGTATAAAAATTCTGGTATATTTTATTTAAAAATATTAGAACTAGAATTTATGCTTGGTATCTCTTTCATTTGTAAATATTTTTTCTAGTAGAATAATAAATGTGATTAGAGATAAAAGTAAACTTACACATAATTTTTCATTTAAATTATGCTGCATATAATTCATTTAGAATATCATGTTTTGAAAATTTCAATGATTTAAATTTATAAAGATATTAATTTTTTGAAAGATTTTACTCAAGAAATTTTCAGAATTTTTGAGTTGGACTCACAATCACCCCTGGAATAGTATATATTTCTGTATCTATATAATTCGGAAAACAACAGTATAGAATCATCCGAATTACTTAAAATAGTATCATTTGAGTTTATTATTAATAAATTTTTATTATTTGCTTGGTATTTTTCTTAATTTTGAATAATTAATTTCAACTATTCTGCTTTTAAGTTACGTATTGAAATTCATATCGAGATCTTACAATTATGAAATTTTATTGTGTGGTTTGTTGAAGGGATAATCTATGTATATTTTGGAATTATAATTTTTGTTTGTTATGATTTTTATAATAAAAAATTTGCTTGCAAATATTTTTTTTCTAATTTGATGATAGTTCTCGACAAAATACTAAGATTTTTAAGACTAAAAAAAAATTTAAAAAAAAACACTGAAATTTTTACTTTTATATGAGGAATTTTTAGGATCGTTTTTTTTTATCGCATTTTCATTTAACGTTTTATAATACATAAATAATGACTTTCTATCGAAACTTGATAAAATTGTCTGCAAAAAAAAATTTTTTTTTTTTTGAAAAATTAAATGATATAGCATATGTGTCTGTGTATACTTTTTGCTTATTTTAATGTTTGAAGTACTATGATTCAGAAAAATATGGAATGTAAAGTTTAAATAGACCTTTCATCGTCAAATTTAGTGGAGTGGTTTCACAGACATTAGGTTATAGCTCTAATAAGAAGATTAGATACATATTTTTTTTTCTGTTTATTTACAAATATTTTTCCGATGTGTTTGGGATGTTCCTTCTCTCTCTCTCTCTATATATATATACATATATAAAAATAAAAAAAGAGAGATTCCATTTTGTTTTTATTGCAAAAGAAAGAATAATCAAAAAATTTTCTTTTTTAGATTTAATAAGCCACAATAAAGAAGTAATGTTACCATGCTGCACTGAAGAAATTTCCAGTGCAACTGATGATCGTGTTGTTCTGCTAGGTAGTAGTCATTCGTCTCAAATAACAACTCCCCTATACGTCGTTGCGTTCGCGAAATATATATTTTAGTGTCGCTTTATTCGATTGATTTTTGTCATTTTCAGAGTAAAAGAAAACTAATTTCAGCAGAATTATTGTTTCGTGTAGCCGCATTTCCAAAGACCAGCATGACTTAGCTCTTGGAAGAAAAAAAAGAGAATAAGTTAGAAAAAAGAGAATAAGAGAGAGAAAAATTTCGAAGCTTTGTTTTTCTGTTTTTCAGTTCTATTTATTTATGTAGTTCCTGAAAATTAAAAAAAAAATTACGTTTGATAAAAATAACAATAATATATTTTTGTTTAATATGAAAGATACTTAAAAAGCTTTCCAAAAGTTCACGTTTTTAACCTTGTCAATAGCCTTGTGTCATCGGCTTAAAAATGGTATATCTAACTAATGCATCCCATATAATCGACCGTTCTCATTATAAAAATGGTCAATAAAAAATTCAAACCTCATAAGCAAATGTTAGGAGCAGAATTTTTTCGGATTTCCAATTTTTAAACGTTCTAAGCGCATTGAACGAATATCATTCTGAAAACTAAAAATTTACTTTAATGAACCAAATTATATGTAATGGACCGTTATACATATTTTTACGAAATAGTTTGACAAATTTTTAACTAATGGTATTTGAATCTGAAAATTAAAAAAATATAACGACTTAACTTATTTCTAAACAATGTTTTTTTTTTTTTTTAAATCTCTCAATGTTTTCAATTCAAAGGTATTTTGTTGTTCAAAATGAAGGGTTTAGATATATTTTTTAATGCTATTTTCGTTGGACCTGTAAGTACTATTTTTATTGTCGCTTATCATGCGTCTTATAAGTTTTATTTTTAAAACAAGTTTTCAACTAGAGTAAACCAGACATTAAGATTCTAGTATTCGAGCACTATCAGATATAAAATTTTCGCATTGACCATTCAGCAACTCTTAAGCTGTAATTCGTTAATTTTGAGAATCATTTCGTCACGAAATTACGTGATTTGTGACGACACGGGAAGCGTAATTTGAAATCATCATGCGATGCCGAAGATGGGCAAAAGAACATTTTACGCATGCGCTCGATTGCTTAAAGAAAGATGGACTCTGAGACAAAACGTGTGCTTGTAATTAAATAAAGTTTTACTTTTCCTACCTGCATAAAATATAACGAAAAAATTACACCTGAACCAGTTGGGTTTGAGAGTGAGTCTAAATACTGAAGACGATGCTTAAAATTTTTAAAAAAGAATTTTCTGAAGTTTCTCACTTTTTCACTATACAATCTAAAAAGTCAAACCCTTAAAGGTAACTACTATGTTTTTCTTATTATTTTTTATGTTTTACGAATGAAATGTTCTATCAACATATTTTGCAGAAAAAAAACTCTATATTTATATGCTTGGAATTTTCCTCACATTTGTTTCAGCATCAATAACTCGTTTGAGCATAAATTAGCATCTCCAACTATTCACGAATTTCCAAAACCAAAATCGGAATTTTTTTTCTTCCATTTTATCTGTCTGAATTAGTTATTGAATTTTATTTTTTATTTTTAGCAGATTGTAATAGATGCAGTAAAATCAGCTTTAAGCTGTATTTAAATGTCTACGGTTTTTAAATCGTATTATGTAGATAAGAAAAAAGTGACGTAATTATATTGCAGAGTTTTCAAATTATTTATCTAATTCAATTTTGAATTTTCATAATATTACATTGTTTTCACAAAGTTTGGATCACAATCTTTATTTAAAATGAAGTAATGAAGAACGAAAATGAAGATATTATTTAAATTGCTACTTCATTTTAATGCAATTTAAAACTGTCTTATATGTTCTTTCGCTAAAATTTTCTTCAAAATTACAAATTTTTCAATGCTTATTTTATTCATAACTTTAAAAATTAATTAACAACCAGAAATGTTTTTAAATGAGACTACATTTACTCAGTACTCTGCAATTTTTCCTTTACTTTTTTATAACTGTATGTTATTTACATGGTTGGGTTTTTGCCGTTAAAAACTGGTTTTTGACATGACAGTGGTAAAAACCATGTTTTTACCGGTAAAAACCGTCAAAAACCTACTGTTCTCTTTAATTTATGGCATATAGCGGACAATATATTATTTTCACATAATTGCCTTTATAAATGAATGTTGCAAATGATTGCTATTGATTTTGCAATTATAGGTATACATGTATTCTTATAGAAGGAAATACATTCATACAGAAATCTTGAAACTCTAAAAGGATTTCCCAGACTTTTTCATGTCTCATTTCTGTGTAAAATATTGAAATAAAATTGATAAGAAAAGTTTATTTTATGAGGCTTTCTATTTATGTGTACATGTGTTTCTCATAGCAAGATTTTATGAATGAAAATAATCAATCTTGACATTCTTCAGTAATGTAATATGCCAAATAAAATGATGCTTGGAAATGTTGAAGATTTTGTTTAGTATCCTAATATTTTACTTCAAATAGTATGTTTTGATATATTCATGTTGGGAAAATGCAAGAATCTGTTCTTAAATACCTTTTATCAACTTTTTTTTAATTTTATTGCTCAAAAATGAATTAATTTTAAATTATAAGCAATTAAACTCAAATAAAAATACAGTTTTTCTAAAACTATGGGTTTTTGACAGTTTTCGACGTTTCTGACAGAGGGTTTTTTGACATGACGGTAAAAACCGTCATGTGTCAAAAACTTGCCAACCCTGGTTATTTATTTAGTCAACAAGCAATAAGATAATCAATTTTAAATATTTTTAAGTTTTTGCAGCTAAATATAAAATATATACACTCTGAGTAAAAATTTAACTTACGAAGATATCTTTAACGCCTCTCGAAAACAAAATATTTATCGGCTAAACTGAAATAGAAATTGTTTTATTATTCAATTTCCTTTTAAATCTTAAAGCATAAATAAAAAAACAAAAAAAAATGAATTGAAAATAATTAATTTTTATTGATGTTATTACAAACTCAATACGCTGCATTTATTTTTAAATGATTGGCTAAATACCCATACATTTTTAATTAGCAGTTGAGATCCAAGACATTTGCTGATAATTATATTCCTTACTGCTTAAAGTATGTGGAGGGCAAATTAAAAAACGCGCGTTTTTTTCATAAAAGTGTAATAATTTTGTTTATTTTTAATGTGGATAAACTACTTATTACTCAAGTTGTAACCCCTTTTTGCCCCCCACCCTCAAACACAAAACGTTGTCTAAATTCATATTGGACTTCAACTTATAAAACGATTTCCACTTTTCCCCTCATAACCGTAATATGCCTTTTTTTACACTGAAACTGGCCAGTATAGCTTCTATAATTTTTTCTCTCCTTCTTCCTATAATACATAATTATTTTCTTTAGTAGAGAAACTAGATTGTAAAGAGTTTTTTACCCTACGTAGCATTAGATATGGTTGTCCGTAAATTTATTTTACGCATGTGTATTCACATTTTTTCAGAAAGCAAATTAAATCAGAAATTTTTTTCAACCATTATTTTTTGATTACTTGATTTTACTATGGTTTCCTTAAATAGTAGTTTAGGAGTGCATGCCATTGTTTGTCTGTTTATTATAGGGCTTTACGCAACACGTCCTTAATATATTTATGTACTACTTGTCGAAAATGAAGTATAACAATTAGTGGGTCGCAAAATCATATTTAATCAGGTAAAAACCCGTTATCAAAATTGTCGAATCGTTAATAAAAAAGGTCGATTGAAAAACATCACAATTAGTTGAAAACCATTGTATAATGAAACGTGGAAGTGTGTATAATTATCGCCTTTCATAAGTTTTTTGTTTTCATCGATAACCAAACAAGTTATGAGTTCTGCTTTCCTCAATAGTGATTCGCTTGATTTGATAGTTTGAAACTCCTATAGTATGCATATTTTTTAATCCATTTTCATCAAGATTTCTTTAATATTTGATGATAAAGATGAGCACTATATATATATATATATATATATATATAGTGCTCATCTTTATCATTAAATATTAAAGAAATCTTGATGAAAATGGATTAAAAAATATGCATACTATAGGAGTTTCAAACTATCAAANATATATATATATTGTGCTCATTTTTTGCTCCATACTTCAGGCATATAATTTCTGAAAACTGGATTTGTCATCATTCACAGCGACACAAAAAAAATGACGACAGTCCCTGACGAATTAATAACAATGAAACTGTAACTAGAAACATCAAAACTAGTTTGATTGCCTTAGGAAACCTGAAATTGTTTTTACAGATCGTCTTTCCACTTCTCCCACTTTCCTTTGAAATTAAACGGGTTTTGATGTATTTAATCTCGCATTTCTCAATAATAATTCGTCATACTTTGATAAAGTTTTTTTTCTTCTTTTTCCTTACTGGATTATTGATTTTCTGCTTGTTAAGTTATTTACTTTGTTTCTTTATTTCTGAAAAAGATATGGAAGGAGGTGGCAGAGCATTTTTCAACAATTCAATTATTTTAGATTATACCCGATTTTAATTAATAATTATAAAAAAGTTCATTTGGAGTTAAGTAAAGTTAAATAAATGGAAAGTAAATAAAATCTCAGTTATGCTTAATTATAGTTTTTGATTGATTTGAATTCAAAAAGTAATAAGTGATAAAAGAAACTTCTTTTTTTTTTTACACTCGAAATTTTCGTAATTAAAATTTCGTTAAGAAAATCGTAATTTAAATTGTCTGAATTCCGTGGATACACTTATAAAGGAAAAAAAAAAGAAGCTGAATCGCGAGTTAAAATATCGAAACGTAAGCATATTAACCCATAACATGATAGTAGTTGAACATCAACCTATCTCTGGTCTAAAAACATTGATCCGAGTATTGATCCGATTGCAATTTTTTAATCTAATAGCTAAATTTCAATTTATTTATGTAGCAGTGGGTACTATTAACATAAAGAAAATATTGAAATTCATGTTTCTAAAAAACCTCGAAAAGCAAAATTATTTTAAAACAAAAGTTTAATTACGCATACATTTTAAAAGCGACTCAGTATTACTGTAAGATAATTCTTCATTTTTTCATCGTTAACAATTTTTGCTTAAGGTTACAGCTTTCGAAATATCGTAACAAGTTTAGTTTTCCATCTGTGTGAAGTAATTGCGCTAAGTCGCCAAAGGGGTCTCATATCGCATGATGATTTCATATTACGCAAACGAGAACTGTCAGTTTATGACGAAAATGTTACCTCAACTCGCAACCTCATCGAAGTGCATTGTGGAAAATTCTTAACTAGAATGAAGACTAGAGGATTGAAAATAAAGTGAGGGAGCAAGTTCACCGGACTGTATAGTGTTCAAGGATTTAGCCACGAAACACGAAGATCACGCGTTCGAGTACCCCTTCAGGCATGGGTGTAATTTATCTCTCTGTTCTCTCTGTCTTTCTTGTGCTGTTTAGGCAATATTGATGGACCTATATTGTGACTACGATTAAGTGTTTATGAGAAAAGTTAGATACAGTAGGCACTACAAGACGTTAGGTTTTGTATAGGTGCTTTGCAATTACATAAGCTTTTTTTTTCTTTCTTTTTGATAAAAAGAAAAAGAACGAAATATTTCTTTAATTTTGACGAAATTTATTTCCTCGAAGAAGTGACGACAGTTAATTCGTTACTGTGACTGAAGTTTTGCTCGGAGCATGTACCAGGAAACAGTTTCGTCAAAAACGCAGAAAGTTTCATGAAATTTTTGAGTATCCATTTTTTTACGATGAACTCGAAAAAATCGCTTATGTTTAAATGACTGTATTGTCACCTAAGTTTGTCAAATAAAACGTTTAGTTTTAATAAATTACGTGGTATTTTTTATGATAATTTTAAAACTATAATATTTTGATGTTCTTAATGTTTCTTTAATGACATGATAACTCTGAAGGAATTTATTTAATAACAAACTGTAACATTATGTTCGAATAGTAACATAAGATCATGTCATGGTTAAAAATTCAAATTCATCCGAATTTTTCACTTTATTATAAGAAAGTTTATTAATTATAAAATGAGTCAATGTAATTCAGCATCATTTTTTGTCTTTTTTTACAATGGAATTATAGGAAACTCAAAACTGTAGGACCGTCACAGAATTTAACGGAACTTTATTCATCATCGAACATTCAGAAAAACATAATTTATTTTCCTGGAAAACGGACACTTTTCTAAACTTAGAACTATAAAAACTAAAACTTTAATAAAATGACAGAAAACAAAGTTTTGTTGTAGAGATTGAAAAAAAAAATGATTGTAATAAGTAGTTAATAATTA